GGGGCGACTTCAATTTGGAACCTTCGACCCTGGCTGCGCCTTATCTTCACAGGGGACGGGGCTCCCAGATGTTCTTCCCCGTGGATGTTTTAGGCACCTGCCGCTCGACAGCAGGAGTCAGGATGCACGACTACCCCTTGATGGAGGCTAGGATGGCGCAGGCGGTGGCTAGTGTCAAATGCATCGGCGACTCGGGACCGGCTACCCACGGCCCCGTTTCCGTGACCCTCCACCCCAAGCTGTCCCATCTCAAGGCGTTGAGCTGTCGCAGACCTCCTCCCCTCCCTGAGGAGAGGCCTGCGGTGCCTGCGCCTGCCCCCCCTGAGGATTGGGACTTCTTGGGGCGTCTGCCGGAGAAAGCGCGCAGCACGGCGCTGGACGGCGATCGAGACCGTGCCCAGTATCACCCCGATGTCCTCTATCGTGAGTGGGCTGCATTGGCTGAAAGAGAGCCGGCGGTGTTTTTTTCAGGCGCAGCTTCCGTTCGCGGGCAGCCGCGGCCGTCGGGCTCAGTTGCGCTGGGTGGACGTTGTGAAAGATCCCGCGGTGCCAGTTCTCGGTCGGCCACTTCTCAGAACGCCGTGCAGCTTCGCTGGCTGTGCAACCGATTCCGCCTCTGGCTTCAGCTCCACGCGATTGGAGACCAGTCAGAGCGGGTTGTTTTTGCTGGGTCGCCTGCTGATGGGGGCAGTCCTTGTCAGGAGGCTAGCGGCCCCGCCTCACGTCCACATGTTAAGCTCGACTCTTATTTCGAGGTTGAGCCTCAGAACGCAACCGGCAGACAGCTGCTGCCCGCTGGCTTCCAGGCTTCTTCGGACCCCGAAGGTCGGAGGCGCCGCCGCATGCCAGATGTGGGAGCTTCCCTATGTGCGCCGCTCTCCAGCTTGGGCGAGTGGTCTGCAGTCCCCTTTCCTTATCTCCGCTTGTGTCAGGATCTCGTCAAGAGGGGCGATGGTTACCTGAACGTGCAAGATGCCGAACATGTTCTCGAGTTTGTTTCCAGCGGCCTTTGCGGGGCTGAGGCTTCGTCAAAATCCGAGGCCCACAAGAATTGGCTGGCGTGGCTTCGGACCAACATCGAAAACGGTGCCTGTCATGCCCGCGGGGTTGTGCGAGGCTGCCCAGGTTGGACCCCCTCCACCACCCTGACTGCCAAAGGAGAGGTCGCGTCAGATCCTGGCTCCCTCCTCTCCTCGGAGCTCGACAAGTTTGCGCGCGTCTGGCATGCGCAGGTTGAGCTCCCTCCCACGTCTCGGGCAGCAAATTCGATCCGATCGATCCTCTGCCTGCTCTTTCGCCCGATGACATCCGTCGGGTCGCGAGGCCGGTCCCCTCTCGCACCGCCTCATTTGTGGATGGGCTTCGCATGCAGGACTTCCAATGGCTCTCGGATGAAGCTCTTTCGGTGCTTTGTGCATCCCTGGGCTTTTCGAGAGGTCAGGCTTGCTCCCAGGGCAGATGCGTATTGCGTTGCTGATCATGCTTGCGAAGCCTGATGGAGGGCGCGGACCGATCGGCCTGTTCGCGGCGATCTATCGGCTTCGGGCTCGGGCCCGTCGCTGTCGCGCCAAGACTTGGGAGGGGGGGCATGCCCGCGAGCACTTTGTTGCAGGCTCTTTCGCCTCCTCTGTCGACGCCGTCTGGCGGCAAAGCGCGCGGGGCGAGATCGCGGTCGCGCCGCGTGAGCAGTCGTGCTCGGTGCTCTGGGACCTGTTGAAGTGTCGCGGGTCGGTTGACCTCGACCTGCTCGGCGCGCGTTGCCGCCGGCATCACTTCCCGCTGCAGATCAGTCAGCTGTGCATCGCCGCCTAAACATCGGAGCGCTACATGTCCATGTTGGGCAGGGTCGAGGGGCCGCGGTTCGCTTGGCGTGGTATGATCGCTGGATGCGGGTTTGCCACCACCTTGATTCGTGTGTTCTCGATCGGCCCCCTCGATGACTTGCAGATCCCCGCTCCTTTCCCCTTCGGGTTTACATGGATGACTTTGCGTTATCCAGCGTTTGGCCCTGGGGCTGCGGCGGCGGAAGACTCCCGGAAGACCTCGAGGGAGCCACTGCCCATTTGCAAGGAACCATTGAGGGCGATCTCGGTTGTGCCATTGCCGTTCATCAGGCTGCAAGTGTTTGCTCGAGCCCTCGCCTTGCCCAGGCGATGCGAAGCCACCTCTGCGAGCTTGCTGGTCAGACGCCCGCCTCGGTTGTCAACTTAGGCATTGACGACGCGGCTGGGCAGCCCCGCCGCGTTGGACGCAGAGGGAGGAAGGAGTCGGTTTGTAAAACCACGTTCTCGAAGAAAGTCGCTCGTCTTCGTTTGCACATGGCGTCGCTGGGGCGTTTCGCTCGAAAGATCTTCGTGACCCATGCGCTGCCCAGCCGAACGTGTGGTTGCGAGGTGCATGGCGCCTCGGACCACGGACTGGCCGCCCTCCGCCGGCTTCCCGGCAAGTTTCTGGCACCCACCGCCGGCGGCAGATCGCTGACTGCGGCCCTTTTTTTCGCCGCGGACCCTACGTGGCATGCGTCTGTGGCCCCGAGTGTGCGTTGGTCTAAAGAAGTTTGATCCAGCCTCGTCGGGTCTTTCGCCTTTTGTCTGTCCGTGTTTGAGCTTAGGAGATCGTGGACGCAAGTCTTCAGGGCCCCCCTTCGTGGCGTCAGGCGAGGGGGCCCATTGGAGCCATGCGGTTGTCTGCGGGGCGTCTGGGTTTGAGCATGCCGAAGTTTAGCACCCTGGTTGATGACAAGGGGGCTGAAGTGTCGTGAACTCTCGCCTCCCCTGCCCTCATCCTTCGTCTCCTCATGGCTGCTGTCCTTAGGTGTCATGAGCGCATGTTCGGTGAGTCCCCTGGTCTGGGGTGCAGGGCGTTCCAGGACGTCCACCTCGCCGCCACGTCGCCCTCGAAATGTTCGGCGTGGGAAAAGGGCTGCGTCAGAGGACTCGCCTGTCAGGCCCCTTGGACTCTAGCTAGGGCCATGGAGGCTGGCTACCACCTCGAGGACGACAGATGCCCCATGTGCCGAGCCGCTCGCGACACTTTGTTTCATCGGTTGTGGAAGTGCTCGGCGGTGGCCTCGGAGCGCGAAGCTGCCTTGGGTGACTTTAAGCATGGACCTGGCTTGGGGTCGGCGCTCTCGGGCCAGGACCTTGTGCTCTACACCACTGGAGTTTTCGCGCGTCCATGGGGCTACTTCCCGCCGCCGTCCGGGCAGCTGCCCGTAGCATGTCATGTGGACGGTGCCGAATGTCTGGATGCGAAGATGCAGTGGAAAACCTTCACTGGAGGATCTTTTATACGGCATGTGGTTCGCGAGCTGTCGCGCTCGGGTTGGGCGTGTGTGTGTGTGTGTGTGTGTCCGCCTCGAAGTCAGCAGCCGTCGTGCAGGAGAGTCCACGCTGGCATGTTTATTTGGACAGCCGACTCTGCTATGGGACCGCTCCACAAGGTGAAAGGTCACATGACAGAGGAAGCAGCCTCCCAGGACTCGCACCTGGCATGGTGCAAGTCTGGTAACGATTTGGATGGTCATTATGCTAAACTCGGCGCTTTGGCCCATGTGCGGCCCAGCGTCGAGCACGAAGCTTGGCTCCAGCGAGCCCTTGCTATTTGCCGAAAGGTGTGCGTGTTGGCTGCCCGCGTTCTGCCTGCCTGGCCACCGTGTGACCTGTCTGGGGCCACGCGCGATAAGCCTGCTCCCCGCCCGTCGCCGAGGGTGCGAGAACGCCATGCGTGGGCATGGCGCGTGTCATACTGGCAGCGCAAGCAGTGTTTGAGGGCGACTAGGGCTGTGTGGCCACCTAACAGCGAGTGCCCACAGACCGACGAGCTTCTGGGGAGCCAGCTCCAGGAGCTGGGGCACACTGGTTTGTCGTTTGAAATCTCTGACGGTAACAGGCCGGTGGTGTGTACAGCCTGTAAATCGTTTGCGTCTGGAGGTTGCGTCCGCAACCTCCAATGCAAATGTCTCGGCAAGCCCAGCTGCCTGAAGTCAGGTCGCTATTACTGGCAACGAATTCAGGCGGGCAAGCATCCCAAGCAGGAAGCTTGGCTGGATGCGGAAACGCTCGCTGCGGCCCGTCTCTTTGTAGCGCCCTCTTCCTCCTCCTCCTCCTCCTCCTCCTCCTCCTCCTCCTCCTCGTCGTGCCTGCTGCTAGGCTTGCGCACGTTAGGGCAGGTGCTCCTCTTGCTAGGAGTGCAGCACTGCTCGACTCGAGGAGGCGGGGGTTGTCGTCGGAGAGTCGTAGGAGAGTCGTGTTCGTCGGAAGGGAATTGATGGCCCGAGGCGCCGCGCCGCCTCGTCCACCTCTGTCTTTGAGTCTCCAAGAGCCGCTTCGCAGAGCAGCGCTGGCGAGTTCTGTTTTGTTTCGCGGGATTTTGCGATTCGTGCAGCGTCCGAGGCCCGCGCATCCTGTGCGCACGTGGTCCCCCATGCGCACTCCTTTCGAGGACTCTGTTGTCCTCCTCCTCGGCGTCGCGGGCGCTTGTTCGGGCTAGGCACTGGTCGGAGGAGGCTTCTCTCGCTGAGGAGGCGATAGCCGAGGGGCTGTCGTCTGGCTCGGACTGAGGAGGGATGTCGGGTGCTCGGTTGCGTCGCCATTTTGGGCGTCCTGCCGTGCCTGTTTTCGGGCCTTCGCCTGCGTGCTTAGGCCCTCGAGCGCCAGCGTTGCCATTTTCTTCCGCACCGTGCGGCGCTCTCGTTTGCCCAGCCTGCAGCGTCCGCCCTGCAGGCTACATGCACCAGTCCTCGCTGGTGCCTCCAACTCGCGGGTTTCCGCAGCTGCAGCAGGGACTCCCATGACTGGGGGCAGAGGATGCAGCGGCAAAAAAAGATCCTCCTCCTCCTCCTCTTCCTCCTCCTCCTCCTCCTCCTCCTCTTTATTATTCTCCTCCTCCTTTTCCCCCTCTTCCTCCGATCCGTCCTCCTCCTCCTCCTCCTCTTCCTCCTCTTTTCTCTTCTCCTCGTCTTTTTCCTCTTTCCCCTCTGGAGAAGAAAGCGTGGGCAGGACGGCTTCCGCTACGGCTTCGGCGCCGAGGTGGGCATCTCCACAAACCGCGTGCACGCCCGGGGCCCCGTGGGCCTCGAGGGCCTCGTGATCCACAAGTACCGGCTCTACGGCGACCGAGGGGGGCGGTGGCAGGAGGAGGAGGAGGCGGAGGAGGAGGGAGGGGACCAGGGGGTCCATCGTCTTCGAAGTGCCCCAGAGTACCCTGGGCACTCTTCGCGGGAATGCTGGAATTCCCCTCTGTATCGTTCCTTGCCCGTGCCTTCTTTCTTCTAATGCCTTCCCCTTTGTCTCTCCTTCTTATGCTTTCATCTCGCTGTTCTCCCCCCTTTCATGCTTCGGACATCGAGGTTGGCTACCCCACCCTCTCCGACGTGTGCGTTCAGGCGTCATTATCTTCTCCTTCCCTTCACTCCTCCCGCTTGGTCTTCGTCGTCGCTCTCGTCCGCCTCATCCCCCTCTTATTCCTTCTCATGCTCCTCTCCGAAGCCTTTTGGCTCAAGAAGATACTCTGGCACAAAAGCAGCGCCCAGACATGCGACGTCTTGACTTTATCAGGATGACGTCCCCGGAGTTCCAGACCTTTTCCAAAGAGCGGCTTTTAATCCTGCGTCGTTTTCTGACGGTCCCGAGGACAAGCGAGGGCCCCCAGGGCCCGAAGATGGCGACAACAGTTGCCGTCCTGATTTCTTTACGACGCGATCATGTCTGGGAGCAGATCCAGAGCGCGCGGAGCCAGTTGGCGTTTCCGCCTGCGATGTCATGCTGGCACACTGCTGCGCCGTCGCTGCTCCTCCGGGAGGATGCTGCCGTCAAGGCCAGCGCGGGAGCAAGGATCTGCGCGGCGCGCATGAGAGCGTGGCGCGAGGGGTGGGGCGGTCCTTCTTAGAAGGCCAGGGGTTTCCTGCCCATCGGTCGTTAAAAGTATGTTTTTACGGAGGAGGAAAAGGTACCCATACCTCTACCCTTCGCCCGTTTTCCCCTTTTTGGACCTCCTCGGAGGCCCTCGTCGCCACCGTTGGATTCGCCTCGAGATTCTGGTATCGGTACCTTTTGGCTTCCCAATTTTTTGAGTCCTCGATTCCAATCTACTTTAAGCGCCTTCCTACTTCAATGATCGGGCGGCTTCACTTTTTCCGTCCTGTTCAGGGGGCGGGCGGAGGCCCAATATACTTCCAGCGCCTTCCTGCTTCATGGTTCTACATAGTTCTTCCGACCGATGGGTACAGGTGAGGAAAAGATGCCGATACCGATGTCCCCTCCTCGCCACCACGGGTGCATTCGCCACGAAATTCTGGTCAGAACGCGCCCCAGGAGAGGTTCGTGGAGCAGCGGTATGAGATCTTCTGTTGTTCTTATTATTTAACGGCTGGGGGGCCTTCTTGGAGGAGCCCGGAGTAGAACGCGCCCTAGGAGAGCTCTCAGAGGAGCCCGGAGTAGAACGCGCCCCAGGAGAGATTCGTCGAGTAGCGGTATGGGCATCTCTTGTCACCCTCGTTCTCGGAAGGCCGGGGGCCCTCTTCAGGAGCCCTGGAGGCTCCCGAGCCCTCGTGGGCGCCAGGATGGCCTCCGAGAGGGCCCCCCCGTGGCTTCCAAGCGAGGCCCCCTGGCGGCTCTCGGGAGGCCGCCGCCCCCCCCCGCGTGTAGCACCTCTGGCTCGCGCCGCCCCAGGATCGCCGCCTTCGACCTGAACGACACGCTGGTGACGAGCAAGGTGCGCGCTCTTGCTTGCCTCCCCCGGGCACAGCCGGACCGAGGTGTGAGATCGAGGTCGGTTCGGGGAGGGTGCCCTGGTGTCATCCTGTGCTTGTCGGACGCTCTCGTGCATCCTTGCCTGGGGGGGGGTAATGCCCTCGGCTGTTCTGTTTGCGTGGGGCGACGGAGGGCTTCGTGTTCTTAAGAGGAGGCTCTTCTGGCCCAGGTTCGAATGCAACGCTCGTGACCCGGGCCAAAACCCCTCCCCCCCACCCCCACCCCAGGTAGCGCTAAGGATCGTACTGAGCGGGGCGGCTTGGACCCCCCCATAAGCTTTGGTGCGCACAGGGCGACTGATGCGCCGGTGGCGCGGCAGGCACCCTCGCGGGGGTGCCTGCCGCGCCCGCCGTGACCGTTTACCCTCTCGCCCGCTACCCGGGAACAAAAAATTGTCACGAGGCAGGTGCGCCCGGCTACCTCCTGACGCTGGCGGACTGGCAGTTCTACAACGACGGGGTCGCCGCGAAGCTGCGGGCGCTGCACGGGCAGGGCTTCAAGCTCGTGGTCTTCACGAACCAGGGGAACATCTCGGGGGCAACGTGAGGGGGAGATGAATAGGCTCAGGGGGAGATGCATCGACCCCCAATCGCCAACGCATTGCTGATTGGGGCGCGATAGCCCACCCCGTCCAGGAGCGCGCGGATTTGCGATCGGGGGCCTATCGCCGATCTATCGGCGATGTATCGCCGATTCCAGGTCGATGTTTCCGCCCCTGAGCTGATCCCCCCGAACGTTCCCCCTCCACATCCGGGCGGCCCTCGATGGGAAGCGCGCGCAGGCGTTCCGAGCCTACCTCGACGCCATGCTCAGAGACGTGGCCGTGCCTGTGCAGGTGTTCGCCGCGACGCAGAAGGACCGGTTCCGGAAGCCCGAGGTCGGAATGTGGGAGTTCATGGAGCAGCAAGCCAATGCTGGCATCCCCGTGGACCGCTCCGAGAGTTTCTACGTCGGCGACGCGGCGGGTGGCCCCGGCGAGCCCGAAGAAGAGACAGCTGCTCAAACATACGCTCCTGGAGGTCCGCGCGGACTTCTTTCTTGGCTCGGCGTTGGGCACCCCCCCCTGCCTCTCGGCGCCTCCATGCAGCGCCGCCCCCTTGCGCGCTGCGCGCGCCAGGGAGGGGGTCCCGGCGACGGTCCCAGAGATCCCGCGGATACCTCGGAACCCCGAGATCCGACGTTGCAAAAAGAATGCAACATCGCAAGGAGGCATTGCTCGAGCCTCGGACCTTCTCATTGCGCGGCATGCATAATCATGGCGAACCGCATCGCTCTCGGAGGGTCCTGGGGCCCGACGCTGGGCGAGAGCGCCCGTTGTGAGCAAAATTGCAGCGCTGGGATGGCAGGGTCGGACATCGAAGAGGGAAAAATGCTGTAAACTCTGGGGTCGAGAACTCTAGGGTCGACGTCATGAAATATCATGACGCCGCGGGTCTGGGTTAGCCGCCCCGATACGCAACACTAGAAGAAGAAAAAAACAGTATAAACATAAACTGTTGGCGCTCGCGCGGATTTCTTGGATCCGCGCTGGCCCCCCCCGGCGGCGCCGCGCGCGAGGAAGGGGGGTCCAGCGCAGATCCAAGAAATCCGCGCGGAGAACCAACAGTTTCTGTTTATGGCCTTTCTTCTTCGTCTAGCAAAGTCTGTATGCTTTGTGCCGCCCTCTCTTCCTCTGCGAGCACTCGGCGGCCGACTCGGACTTTGCGCGGGCCGTCGGCGTGAGGTTCGTGCACGCCCGCGACTACTTCGGGCCTCCCCGCGGCCCGGGCGCGGCGGGTGGCCTGAGTCGGGCATGTCCCCCTACAGGAGGAAGATTTATCAGCAGTCCAACACATGCTCTGGGGACGATCTTTCGACCATTCTTGACTCTTCTTGAGTTTTTTTTAGCCAGCGTTATATTTTCTTCTTCGAAAATCCGCCTGTCGGAGGATATGGCCGACCTGACAGGTTCTAGGCCTCCTAGATGGGGTCGGAGTAGATGGGGTCGAAGGATCGCGCCGCATCGCCGATGCATCGGCGATGTGGCTCAATGTGGAGCCCGATTTGCTTTACGTCGGCGTCGCGGATGCACCGCCCACGTCGACGATGCATCGCTGGTGCATCTCCAATACATCGCCGATGCATCGCCGATGTATCGGCGACGCGGCGGGATCCTCCGACCCCATCTACTCCGACTAGGAGGGCTCCACAGGTGGCGCGCCCGGCGCCGGCGGCCCCCGGCGGCCCCTGCCGGCAGCCCCCGGCGAGCCCGCCGCGAAGGCCCCTCGGGGAGCGGGCCTGGCCTCGTCGCGGGAGCGGGGCGCCGCAGTGCAGCTGTGCGGCCGGCGCCCGCCCAGCTCGGGGGGAGGAGGAGCGGCCCCGGCACCGCCGGCACAGGGTCCCACCCAAATCCCAGCTTCCCAAGAGAGCCCCTCGGGCAACGAACCAAAATCATGGCGACTTGTTATACATGCATCATTGTATAAAAGCAGAAATAACGACGACGTGTTTATGTTTTGGGCTATTTTCGGCCTCTGTGGGCCCTCGCTGGCCTCGAGAGCGCAAAAAACGACTGAGTCAAGATGATAGCTGATCCCGGGGAAGTGGTCGAGACCTTCAGGGGTCGACGTTGTGCAAGCACTAAGACGTCGGGGGTCTAGGTTAGCCGCTCCGATACACCCCCCTTGAAACGCAACACGTTCCGTGCGCAAGACGTCCGTGATAACTTTCACGCTGCGTGCTGGCTCGGCACGTTTTGGCCCGCGTTTGGGCTTGCTTGTCGCGCCAGCCGTGCGTGTTCAGTCTACATGCTGAGCTCCTTGTCAACATGCTACGGGTTGCGCATTTGACAGAAAACAACGCCATAAACATAAACTTTTGGCGCACCGCGCGGCTATCTTGGATCTGCGCTGGGCCGCCCCCTGTCGGCGCCTCCGGCGCCGCCCTTGGCGCGCTCCCTGACGCGCTCCGCGCGCCAGGGAGGGGAGTCCGGCGCAGATCCAAGAAATCCGCGCGGAGCGCCAACAGTTTATGGTTGTGCAGTTTTTTCTTTTCGTAGTGTTGCGTATCGGGACGGCTACGTGCCCGCCCTGGACCAGCTCCCTGGCAGCCGCAGCCTGCACCCCCCCACTCGCCGGCTTGCCCGCCGTGGTGCCGCCTGAGGCTCCGGCCCATCGGCGTTAGGTTAATTCGTCTTTGCGCGGCCCGTTCTGACTCGACTCGCCGCTGGCGCTCTCGCCTGCGGCTGCTGATTTTAAAAAGTATCGGGACGGCTAACCCAGACCCGCGGCGTCATGATATTTCATGACGTCGACCCTAGAGTTCTCGACCCGTTCCCGGGGACCGGTTTTCCATCCTGCGTTGTTTTGTTGACGCTCCCGGGGCCCTGCGAGGGCCCCCAGGCGCAGAAAATTTAGAAACACCGCCCGTTGTGATTTTTCTCACGACCCGAAGGGGGCTGATTATCGGGGCGGCTAGCGGCTAAGTGGGGTCGGTTAGGGCTTCTGGAGGCAGAAAACGACGAAAAGCCTTCCGTCGTGATTTTGTCACGGTTCGAGTGGGTCTAGGCATGCAGGGTCCATTCCCAGACCCGCCCGCGCCGCGGACGCGAGGTTGTTTCTGGCAGTGCTTCTTTTGCTTCCCGCGCGTCGCAGATGCACCGCCGACGTCGCCAGTGCATGGCCGATGCATCGCCGATGTATCGGCGATTCGGCGAGATCTCCCGACCCTGTCCCATCTAATCTGACCCCATCCGGGAGGCCTGTATAACCCAGACCCCCGACGTCATGATTTTTCATTACGTCGACCCTGGAGGTCCACACCCATTCCCCTGGACCGGTTCTTCATCCTGAGTCGTTTTTTGACGCCCGGCGGGGGCCCCCAGAGGCCGAAAACAGCAAAACAATTAGCCTGGCGAAAGACCTAACCATACGCAGTTGTGAATACCGCAATTGTGAATACCATGTTCGCCCATGCTCCCTCTGTGGCCACAGTTTCCCGCCGGAGCCCGACATGCTCAGGGACACGTTCGCGGCCGTCTTCGCGGGCGCCGACGACGACGAGGACGGCGCCCCCTTGACCGAGGAACAGAAGCAGGAGTGGGCTCTGAGAGCCATAAGGGAAGCTGCCACTGGCGCCTTCGGTGGAGCTCCTATGGGGCCACGGTCCTCGTGAGTGGTGTGCCGCAGTGGCCCGAGGCCGCTATGCGAACCCTGCCGTTGGCGCCTTCGGTGGAGCTCCTTATGGGGCCACGATCCTCGTGATGGAAGGTGACGAAATGGCCCGAGGCCGCTATGCGAACCTTGCCACTGGCGCCTTCGCTGGAGCTCCCTATGGGGCCACGATATTCGTGAGGGGTGCGCCGCAATGGCCCGAGGCCGCCATGCGAATTTTGCCACTGGCGCCTTCGGTGGAGCTCCCTACGGGGCCACGATCCTCAATCAGGGATGCGCCGAAATGGCCCGAGGCCGCCGCGCGAACCCTGCCACTGGCGCTTTCGGTGGAGCTCCCTATGGGGCCACGATCCTCGTGGTGGGGTGTGCCGAAATGGCCCGAGGCTGCCATGCGATCCCTGCCACTGGCGCCTTCGGAGGAACTCCAATGGGGCCACGATATTCGTCAGGGTGTGCCGTAATGGCCCGAGGCCGCCATGCGAACCTTGCCACTGGCGCCTTCGGTGGAGCTCCCTATCGGGCCACGATCCTCGTGAGGGGTGTGCCGACATGGCTCGAGGCCGCCATGCGAACCCTGCCACTGGCGCATTCGGTGGAGCTCGGCCACTATCCTCGTTAAGGGTGCACCGGAATCGCCCGAGGATGCCATGCGAACCTTGCCACCGGGGCCTTCGGCGGAGCTCCCTATGGGGCCACGAAGCGTACGATGGTGTGCCAAAATGGGTGCGGGGACCGCATGCGAGTTCCGCCACTGGGACCTTAGGCGGTGCTCCTTAGGGTGTGCCGAAATGGCCTGAGGCCGCCATGTAAATTCCGCCACTGGGACTTTCGGTGGAGCTCACCAAGGGGCCACGAAACTTTTGAAGAGGTGTGCCAAAATGGATGCGAAGCCGCCGTGCGAGTTCCGCCACTGGGCCCTTCGGTGGAGCTCCCTATAGGGCCACGAAACGTGCGAGGGGTGTGCCAAAATGGGTGCGGGGACCGCATCCATTGGGATCGTAGTTGAAGCTCCCTATGGGGCCACGAATGGTGTGAGGGGTGTGCCAAAATGGGTGCGGGGACCGCATACGAGTTCCGCCACCGGGGCGTTCGGTGGAGCTCCTTGCGGGGCCACGATACTCGCGAGGGGTGTGCCGAAATGGCCCGGAACCGCCAAGCGAGTTCCGCCACTGGGACCCCAGGTGGTGCTCCCTACGGGGCCACGAAACGTGTGAGGGGTGTGCCGAAATGGCCCGAGGCCGCCATGCGAGTTCTGCCACCCGGACCGTAGTTGGACCTCGGGCCACGAATCGTGTGAAGGGGTGTGCCAAAATGGGCGCGGGGACCGCGTGCAGGTTCCGCCACTGGGATTTAGGTGGGGCTCCCTACGGGGCCACGAAACGTGCGAGGGGTGTG